TCCTGTTCTGCTATAATATCTATACTTGGTTCCACTTCACCATCATCAACTCCTTCAGTCACTTTGACTTCAGCTTGATGGCACCTGGTTAGTCCAACCTCTGTTTTAACACTTACTTTTTATCAAAGTGAACTACACACTTCCTCGGTAGTAAGTAGTCCAACCCTAATGTGCATGGGTCTTCAATGTCAGCCAAGTATACTTCGTGTTTGTCCTTTATGCCCATGAGCTTAATAGGTACCCACACTTGTTCACACAACTTTGTATAATGTCCTGTCACACCACAGAGTTTCTGTATGGCTTCTGGTACTCCTTTGTGATCTAGCACCTTGATACTCACAAGGGTATGCTGAGATGCCGAATCTATGACAAAGTTGCACCTTTGGCCATCCAGCTTTCTTGTCACGTAGACACTATTTGTGCTTGCCATTTTACACTTTGCTGTTGGAACTTTCACAATGGGGGTTGGTAGGCATCCCTCAGCACCAACCACTACTGGTTTTCCTCATATGTCCTTGCTCTCCACAGTTCCAACAACCTTTCTGAGTAGCAGCCTTGCCTGCCATGGCATCTTCCCTGTGTTGAAGTAGCCGACATTGAGCTCTCTTGTGCCCAAGTTTGTTACAGTGCCAGCAAAGTCCCTGAAACTTCTCTGAAAGCTGCCCTTTCTGGCCTTGAATCCTGATGACTGCACGAACCTTGGTACCTCTGTGTTGGACTTAATATAGGATTCGAATTCAAGAGCTCTGACCATTGCATCCTGAATAGTAGATGGGTATGCTTGCTTCACTTGTACCTTCAGTTGTGGACATTCCAAGGCGTTTAAAAACTGATCCCTCAGCAACAGCTTGAGAACATCAGGTGGTGCAGTTGGGTAGGCCTTGTGTGCCAGCTCTTGCAGGCTCTCCACTTTAGCACGGACTCTAGTCATAAACCTAGCCCTGTAGACTTCGGACTGATTTTGAGTTCCATACCCGAGTTCTAGAGCAGTTACCAGTGCTCTATAGTTGTGCCTGTCGTCTGCTGACAACTGTCCAAGTATTTCCAGTGGTTGTCCCTTCAGGCTCGTTGCTAAATACACTGATTTCTGCTCCTCTGTCCATCCATTCATTTCTGCCAGTAGCTCAAATTGTGCTCTATATACTTCCCATGGTGCCTTCCTAGTGGATTCCTGTGGCTTTCTTCGTACTAGATCACCCCTATTGCTGACACTCATGTCTGGAATGTGACTTCTAACATGGCTGAAGATGTCTGCGTTAGAGTTTAGTTGCAGGGTTTGGAAGGGGCTTCCCTTTGTCTGGGGCTGATTAGGTCCATGGCTAATATATCTTCCCTGTGTAAAGGACAGTAAACCGTCCTTTAATGTATTTTATTCGCTCTGAAATTTACCAATATTTTCCATTTGTACGTTTTGCCACTGTTGCTGACTTTCCTGTAGTTACTGCTGACTTTTTTCCTGTTTCCTTTCTTGTAACAGTTACCACTGCTGTAGTTTCTCCTCTTGTTTCTTTTCTTTCTCCTCCAACCACTGCTGTAGTCTCTCTTCTTTCTTTTCTCGTTCTTCTTGTTTATTTTCTTTTTCCTCGAACAACTGCTGTTATCTCTCTTGTTTATTTTGCTGTTCAAGCTGCCACTGTTGCACGTTTTCTTGCCACTACTGTTGTCTCTCCTCTTGTTTCTTTTCTTTCTCCTCCAACCGCTGCTGTAGTCTCTCTTCTTGTTTATTTTCTCGTTCTTCTTGTTTCTTTTCCTGTTCTTGTATTGCTGCCATCAAATCTGCTAAGCTGTAGTTTGATTTGCCACT